ATTCCCTTGAAGACTAAAATACACTCAAAATAGTTTTTTTTGAAGACTAAAATACACTCAAAAAAGTGCCTTCTACCCGTGCATGCCCTTTTTAGCTTCTTTCGTTACTGTACATCTTTTTGTTTGATTTTTCACTTGGACATAAAAGTTCAGTTAGCCTACGTTGTGTGTTTTGTTTCTTCAACAACTTTTTATTTCAGCACAATGTTTCAAGTCACAGACACTAAAACTTAATTAAGATTTTATCACTTTACTTTTACTTTCTACCATAGTATATGGAGAAAGTATTGTTTTCGTCAAAATTTTTTAGTCATAGTTTTGAGTGGATATATCCTTTTTGGGTCCCCCTGATCCAAAAAAGTCGTTTTCGAAGTGATATCTATCTGTATCTGTGGATGTTTACAGAGCTACAGACCACACCTGTGGTCCGATTTCGATGAAATTTGATATTTAGATACCCATGGTATCTACAGGAGTTTTTCCTTTCTTTGAAATTTTGATTTTCAGTGGTGATTTTCCCATAAAATAACGGAATAATAACATTTTCTCGAAAACAGCCCAAACAATTTTGATAAATAGTATGTTATAGCCCTATAAATTCTGAACAAAATAGTACTAACCCCGTTCCTTTAAAAATTACGGTTCAAAAGTTATTGTAAGTATTCTTATTTTTTCCATAAAACCCCATAAAATAGGCCTAGCGGGATATCAAATTTTTGAAAAGCTGTTTTTGATTAAAGTTAGTATGTCATAGTCCTTATAATAGTAAAAAAATTGTGCTGTAAAAATTTGGGTTAAAATGTAAATGCAACATTTTTTGATTTTTCCTTTAAAATATGCTCCCACCGCTTACCCATAATAATCCACGGGTATATCACCAGACAATTAAAAGACTTGTATTCCTCAAGCCAGGCTAATAAAAGTTATCTAAAGTTATATTTGCAAATGAAACTAATAAACTTCCAATAACTTTTAGAAATCAGGAAAACATTCAATCGTATAGGTAAAAATTATCGAATCATTTTACAAGCAGTATTTTGAGTCTTAAACAACATGCCCAATTTTTCAGGGAAGCTACCCAAACTATTTGTATTTACAAATGTCCCGTTATTTATGATGTAATGACATTCTGTATATACAATAAATACCTTATAATTTGTTATTCAAATCTTCTCCTTTTCAACATATTTTTTTTTACTAACTGTACAAATGAGGAGGAATCAATAGTTCTAAACCCCTGGTTTTTAACTGTGTAAAATCAATGCAAAGTGATCTGAGTGTTGTTTATATTGCTTGCATTCGCAAACAGCAACTGCAAATAACATTGATCTCATTGGCATCGGAGTGTTGTGATTTGCCAAATGCAAAGTCCCTGTTAAATGTCATTGTAAACAAACACTTTTAACAAGTGATTTTAAAACTGGGTGTTGAAAGTTTACATGACCCTTCTTTAAAAAAACAGTAACTTTAAAATTAAATTAAATATTTGTTATTTAAAATATTATATTTTGTTGAGCGAAATTTTTATAGCTTTCTCATTTCCTTTTATTTAATAGTAAAATATATAATATATATTTATTAATATATATATATCTATTATATTATTAAAGTGATACAATCAAATTTTATGTAAACGGTTAAGGCCATTTACCAAATAAAAATATGGGCATATGGCACATCAAAATGAAGCTTAGAGTGTGTATATTTGCCAAAAAGTATTGATATGGACGAATTACTTAAGGGTTCTGCCCCACAGGCTGATTTTCAAAGGGCTACGCCTGGCATACTTCCAAAGTTCAAATGATATAATTTAATTTATTTAATGAAACAGCTGGTCAGTGCAATGAACTGGTGTTTGTTTATTTACTAGAAAAAGATGTTTGTGATGCTTTATGAAGATTGAGGAGGGTTATGTTTGGTTTTAAAGAAAGGTTGTATTAGTTTTGTTAAGTATTGCTCAAAGTTTTATTTTGTAATTTAAATAGTAAGCTACATGTAAAGAGGCTTGACTAAAATTGAAGAATTATGGTAAAACATGTCATTCATGAAGCATCAATATGAAGAAGTTGATCCTATTGCTACACTAAGGTATGTGTAATATTCTTTTGGATCTATTAACATCAAAAGTAGGGGTTTGAAAGTAGGTTTACACTTTTAAATCAGTTTATATTTTCAAATTAAATCATAGATTTGCTGTATTTTAAAACACGCATCAGCACCACTTTAATAACTCTCTAGGTCACATTTTCTTCCCGTTGCAAAGCACGGGTATAGCAGCTTGTATTTATATAATATATAATTTTATATTTAATAGTCATTACTAGGACCGAAAGTGAAATTTTCTAACGCACGCTTAATTTTCATGTGTGAGGCAAAGCCAAGCAACCAAATTTAACATGCGAGGCAAAGCCAAGCATGTGAGAGTAATTTTCACGTACGAGGCGAAGCCGAGGATGAGAATAATTTAGCAAGGGTCAGAAAATAGCTTTCGGTACGATTAATAAACGACACTTTTCATCACAACGCAAAAATACACACACACAGAATTGCATATCTCAGTAGTATTAACATAGTGATAGACTACTTTTCATCATTGAAAATACACTTACAACGTACATATGATTTCATAATTGTAGATTTTTTAGATAAATATATCAATAAATAGCATATTCCCTATTTGGGAAATTCGATAAAACTTCGTCAATTACTTTAATGGACTTAACATTTTGTAATTTGTACCAGTTTTAAGCTTTCTGTTATTCCTCTTCCTATCTTTCCTATGATTTATCTGGTGGAAGGTGATTAGTTACCACTGAAGCTGTTTTTATCAAATCATCAGAATGTTAGACATATTTTAAGCAATTTCAAACACGCACTATGCTAATATCACAGTAAAACAAACTAATGCCTGTTTCTGTATAGATTTAGATTGTGCAGCAATAAAAACAGCTGATTTAAATCATTAAAACAAACCTAACAAAACACTAGCGCGCATAGTGGATTAATGGAGAACTAACCGAGAGCGAGGGAAAGTAAATTTAGAGCGAGGGAAAATCAGCTGATCGTTTTTCCTCGCTCTAAATTAGAGCTTGGGAAACAACTACGGTACATTCTTTCATATTACCTGTTGTTGAAAAAAGTTTCGGTAAGGAGTGATGAAATAGTTATTTGTGTAACTAGTGGTGAAAGTGGCGCTTTGCTGCACACGAGAGCAATGTTTACGCACGAGCCGCAGGCGAGTGTGGAATGATCTCGAGTGCAGCAAAGGCCTTTTTCACTCGTGTTACACATTATATTTTTCCTACAGTCACTATAAAGCATATAAATAATTAGTCTTTCAAACACTATGCAACACGTTTTTAGGTTCAGCTGGCAACACAAATGGTGCCCTAGAGAAAGTAGTACCCGCGGTCCATATCACTCCGCTATTTTTCCTCGGCAAGAAATGTGCTCCGCGTTTTGAGAATATAGTTCCGTATGTTTTTGTAATTTGAAGTGGTTTCCGCGCCTAAAAAAAAATGCTTAAAAGGTATTTTCTTGTTTATTAAGATCGTAGGAAGGTTTTAAAAACGTTTAAAAGAAAAGTCCAGAAAGTTCAGAAATACCGAAACTATAAACACGAAATGACAGGTTAAATAGCAGTTATAATAGTCAATCAGCTGCTCATAGTATAATTATCTTTAAGTGTTGCCAACCTATTTCCAAGCGTACACGGATTACGTGCATAATGGAACCACGCTGTTTTGTGTTGTTTCGTTGGAATCCTGATGTGCGGCAAAGTATAAACCGTACGGCAAAGTATAAACCGTACGGCAAAGTATAAATATGCAGCAATTAGCAGCTTTCTGTACTATAAACAGTACAAGGAAGCCAACTTTGTCGGGTGACTGTAGGAAAAATATTTTTTTTCATGTTTAAACTAATTGCATAGTGTTATGACATGTGTGTAACAATATAAATTATTATATTAAAATGGCTATACTATTTAATAATAACAAAAATACAAATCAAAAAAATGTATAAGAAATACCCTATTCTAAAAACTAGTTTGATTTAAATTTTCTTATCTTTAAAACTTGAAAACCACACATATATTAACTGTTCATTAAATATTAAATATTTAATAACTAAATAACAAATTTTGTTGTTTTGTTCTGAAATTGTATATCTATTTGTTATTATTTTAGTTGCATAATTTTCTCGTAATATAAATTTTATGTCGTCTGTAAACAAAAGCAACACAACCGTTTTTAGGAAGTAAGGCTTCCAAACAGAGCCGCCCCTAGGATTGGCGGTGCCCGGAGCAAACGTGGTTGTGGCGCCCCCTCCCCCCAGTAATAATAGTCGCATTCGCATATTTTAACTATGTTAATATAAATAGCCACTGCGCGGCGCCCCCTCAGCCTCGGCGCCCGGGGCAGCTTGCCCCAGTTGCCCCCCCCCCCCCTTCGCACGGCCCTGCTTCCACAATCACTCTCACTGTAGGTCCTCTGTGTCCGATTGCTTAGGAATACTAGATGGAACACTAGCTGCTGACATTTCGTAGCCATCTTCGGAGCTGGTGACAGACACTAACGCTGGTTAGTGCCTGTCACCAGCTCCGAAGTCTATGTGAAACAAACATTTTAAAATGGTGACTATAACGACTTTTAACTGTAGTTAAAATGCACTAACAGCAGATTAAAGTAGCCTAACTCTTTTACTATTAGGAGTAAATACTTTTAAAACACTTGTTTAATGTAGACTGGCTCTTAAATCCAGCATTAATGGATGCTTAGGCATTAAATTATAATGGCAGTGATGAATTTTGAATCCAGTTGGTATTTTAAATTTTCTGTTATTTAATGATACTATCTATCAATAAATTGTTGGTAAATATAAAACCTGGATTTAGACTGTTATCCAATAAAGGATGTAAAAAAAAACACTTTTAGTATGCCTCACAACCTTGGTAATATGCAATGTAAGTAGGTGTAAGTATTAGTATTGTGTTGTTGCAGGTATGACTACGAGCTGCTGTTGCAGAACTCCACATTCTGTCTGGTGCCGCGAGGACGTCGTCTGGGCTCCTTCAGGTTCCTAGAGGCGCTGCAGGCCGGCTGTGTTCCTGTGCTGCTCTCTAACACCTGGATCCTACCTTTTCACCAAGTCATAGACTGGGGCAAAGCTGCCATCTGGGCGGACGAGAGACTACTGTTACAAGTATGATTGATTTTAATCAAGAAAAACAATTCTTTAATGATTTGGTTCTCTAATGACTGCAGTATGTCTCAGTTTTTGTTGAGGTCATTGAACTCTCTTCACCTTAACCTAACCCTGCATTTGGGTGTAAAACCATTTCGTGATTGGAATGTCAGATCAGAAAAAGAACTATTTTATTTTACACTACAACTCTTTGATAATGTAAATTTTTTCTATAATTTTTTAGACGATATCAATAAGATTGATGAATTATCAAAATTAGACCCTTTAATTGCCATTGAGAGACAAGGTTGTGTGGATGAAATGTTTTCCCAGAACATTTAACTGTTGACTTCTCCATTATCAATATTATTTTAGGGATATATTACTTATAAATTTGTGACAAAACATATAAAATTTGTCTAACGCATACTCTTAGAACAAGCTCCCTACACTGTGAAAGATTTTTTAAGTTGCCGATCGAATTAAGATACTGTTCAGTTACGTTTTAGTTCTAACAGCATTATAATTTAGTTTTATTATATATTCTTGTGACGCTATTATACAGTTTTTTCTGGGCAAAATAAAGATGATTTGATTTGTGAAAATAATCTTGCACCTGGAATACAAAATATGACAATAAATTTTAATCCAACCTCCACGATAAGGCTGGAACCAAACTAGTAGAACTGATGGTTCCAGATCTAAGAAACAATATTCTTACAATACAATGTAAAAACAAATTAAGTCAGCTGTAGATGATTTTTTATTGGCTTCACACAAGAGCGTATTCTCAATTAATTTCCTCAATGTCTTGTAGCCGTAGCCAATTGCCTGGCACATTGAGTGTGATTATGGAGGAAGTGTAAATTAATTAGTATTATGTAGATTTTGAGCTGTTTTATTCCCATGATTTTAAATGTGAGATTTTTATTGATTTGGTTATTTAGGATTTAGTACAGTTAATAAAATAAAAATATATTCAAGAGTGTTTGGTTGACAAGAAAGCCTCTTTTTAACCGACTTCCCCACTACCAACAAAAGGAGGAGGTTCTTAATTTGTTTGTGGCGATGTTTTTTTTTCTATGTATGTTCACCAATTTCTCTGTGATTCTTTTACCGATCAGTGTGGTTCCACCACCAAAATAACCAGGAGAGTTTCTATTTGGTACCTTATATATTATCTTTAAGTATAATATTTGTTTCGGTGAAAAATTCTTAAAACCTTAAATATTCAACACTTATTTTGTTTACATTTGTTCAGATTGTTTACATTTGTGCAGAGAAGGCAATAAATAATAATAACATTCCTACAGCTGTAAGTTGAAACCATTTAAATGAAGCTACAGACAATTCTTCATGATTATTTGATATATTTTTTTACTTATTGTTCTCATATTTGAAGTTTGAACAGATTGTAAAATAAATTCTGATAAAAAAAAAAAAAAAAAAAAAAAAAACAGTTGCTTCATATTGATCAATAAACTATTTCTTGCCATGGAGCCTTAATGAATTACATTGAGAAAAATGCATTTTGTTTTGGTTACTATAAAAAATGTATTTTAACGTTTGTCCTGATTTGTGTATACAGTAATTCTGTTTTTAGTACCTATTGAATATTCTGACTTACAAAAACATATGTTTCAGTGAATAGCTGTATGATATTGACAAATAAAGGTGTATTGTGAAAACCAAAGCATTCGTAAAACAGGTCTAAATATAAATTAAATGCAATTATTCCTTACACGTACACGACCTAAAAAGTGTGACAGTGCATAATCGTCAATTGTCTTAAAAATGTAAAATATTTTAATTACTAAACATGCATTTGCAGATGTGGAATGTTTATTGATATTCTCTACCCAGTTACTATATCATATCATTACTATTATGCCTGCTTCGGAAAGTCCTAGAGGAAGATGATTTGCAATTTCGACTAGGCTATATCTTGATCAAACAAAACCACCTACATGGCTTGCACCACTTTTAGCCGAACCAATCTTTCATATAATATTTTCCAAAGGTACTATACGTGTTAACGACCAATTTTCCACTTTTGAGAGATTTTTTAGTGCTGGTAGCTGAGGAATAACTTTCATATTGTTCCAAAAGGCTTGAGACGTTACTGTATTTATTTTTATAATGTAGAAGTACACTGATTGCAGGAAACGATGATGTCTGACATTTCAATGTATCTAGAAAAGACAATTAGTTTTTCATTAGGCCTAATGTAATGGACAACTCTTTCTTTCTTAAGGAATATCTCAAAATGTTTATTTTCATACCCATTGGTTATGTAACCTGAACAGGAGCCTCAAGCAGTTTTAAAATAATGATTGTTCTGTGGAGCTTTTGATTGTTTCAAACAGTTTTGCTTATCAAATAACCTCAAGTAATTAATACATAAAAAATTATACAGTCACTAAAAATAATGAAATAATTTATTTTTGTAAAAAAAATACAACCGACTTCAAACGCTCTAAAAAGAATGAAATAATTTCAATAAAGTAAACTTTTGTATTAGGCAAGCTTACGTATTTCAAGTCGGCGTGGCTCAAACTGCAAATATGATTGAAATTAAATATTGTGTGTGTATTTTGAAAATCAATAAATTGTAGCTGGATAACATAAATATGTAAAAAACAATTCTGAACTGTTTTGTTTATATATTAAAGGAAATATTTTCTTGTATTTTATGTTTACTTCAGAATAAATGCATTATGAAAATAACACACACAAATGTTCTATATGAATAGGAAAATAATTTAGTTTGATATTGTGATAGGGAAAAGAAGCTAGTTTAGTATTAAAACGTTACTTTTCTTAGTTAGAAACATTTAAATGCGTTATAATATTTTTAAAGATACTCGTTAATACCACTATGATGCCGATCTCTGATTACGGTAATAAAATAACACTTAACGCATAACTATGAAAAAGACATGCAGATTAACCCCTTTAGTTATAGATAGTCACCTGCAATATGGACACCCTCTTTAAATTTTGTATCAAAAATCATCATAGAGCCGCGCCGACTTTAAATACGTGAGCTTGCCTAATACAAAAGTTTACTTTATTGAAATTATTTCATTCTTTTTAGAGCGTTTGAAGTCGGTTGTATTTTTTTACAAAAATAAATTATTACTCTCTGCCATAATGTCATTGTCGCTAAGCCATGACACTGTATATAACAAATGTTTTTATTTACATCTGATTAAGACAGATGATTTGTTGTTATTGTAAATAAACTATTAATTGTTTTGAATGAAAACTAAACTGGAAGAAATAAGTGCATTTTATTCTTTTAACTTAAACTAAATTTTATCCATAAAACTAATCCAATTCTTAACTTATATTTACTAATTACCAAGAAACTTTAAACTTAACTACTGAACTTTATTCAACTAACTATTATACACGCTTCCAATTAAAACTTTTAATTAAACAAGAAGATGGAGCAGGCATCCAATATATATATTGAAAGAATCAAAATTTTTAGTAATATCTGTAATTTAGATTTATTTGTCTTGTAATATTTATTAAACAAGAAGAACCTCAATCCTCAATATAATTTTGCGTCAACCATCTAGTCCTCAGTAGAGAATATCTTTTGCATGGTCAAATGCTATTTTAAGATGAAACAATTGATTATAACTCATGAACCAATCAAATAGATTGATGAAATTAATCAAAGGATTGTTTTTCATATTTATTTCTTTATTGTTTCAGGTGCCTGAAATTGTTAGGTCTATATCTGCTACCAAAGTCTTTGCTCTTCGTCAACAAACACAGATTCTGTGGGAGCAATATTTCTCATCAATAGAGAAAATCGTGTTTACCACTCTTGAGGTGAGATGAAGTAGAATATTTCAATATTTGCCTCAAAACTCAAAAGTTATCTATTCTGTAATGTGGTTATTGACAAGGAAAAATCAATAGTAACGGTCCATCTATCTGTTATTATTTTATTTGGAATGTATAAATATTACAGGTATTTTATATAAATTGTACATAAACGCTGTTTATTCTTTACCTGTTGCAAGCATCATTGAAATGTTCGAAAAGTGTCTAAAATTTTACTTTTTCAAAATAGTGTTGTAAAGCTTTTTAGTTTAGGCACTGCCATTACTTACATTTTACTATTTAATAAACACCCTATAAATAAGTTTAGTGACTTAACTGTAGGAAGGCATATGACAAGTAATAGTCCCTGGACTCTCTTTATGAAAAAATCTGCCTTAATTCAATCTTAGGTTCTAATTTTTTTTTCTCAAAATGTTGCTAGCTAGTTTAGTTTCAATTGAAACATTTTTAAAACTTAAAAATAAATGATAAGCCTAGATATAATATGTCCCCACTAAACGAACAAATTCTGGAGCCTACTGCCGCTATAGGACTGTTCAGTATGATGACATTATCTTGTGTTCTGGCTATAAATGTTGCGCTTGCAATGATACTAGTCAGCAGCATTTTGTTGGGAAAAATTGGATTACATACAGTGGTGAGAAACCTAATTTTATTTTAATGTTAGCATTTATTGTTGTAAAGTCTGTTTGCATATATGACTGGATTCAATCAATCAATCAATCAATCGTTGAGATGGGGACGCCACCTAGGTGCGTATTTTAACCCAAATATGAGTGAAGGATGAGTGTAGAATGGTGTGTGATGACCTGATTATTTATTGTTAAACATTAGGTCATGGAGAAAAAGTTGGAAAAACTTAAAAGGCTTTAAGACTTAAAAAATTTGGAAAGATTCATCTTGAACAGATAGACCTAATTATTTGCACACCTACTACTTTCTCTTAGTCCTCCTAACAAAACCATTATGTTAAATTTGTAAAACTCTCACCTAACTAGTGGTTACAACAATTGACAGATCATCAGAGAGCGGTTGCCGCAACAGAAGGTGAGAGACGGAGTTGTGTGGAACAACAGTCCTGGCGCGCTGCTGACTCTTCCTCAGTTCTCTGACTCATGGCTTGACCTGCCATTCTATCAACAGCTGAGGCCGTCTGAAGGCTACACGGCCGTCGTCTACTCTCAACTCAACTCGGCAGTCACACCTGCGTCCTCGCTGCATCGTTTAGTCAGGAACGTAGCAGCCAGCCAGCACTGTCAGAAGGTTAGTGTAATGTGTTGATAATCTCTATGGGACTGGTAGGACATTATTCCTGAGTAATGGATAGACACATGTTGATAATGTATATTCCCAAGGCAGCAGTATAAACAAGTAGAAATAGTCTGATAATTTATGAAATAGGTGTTTCTATCCCACCGCTCTGAACCTGAGATGGGATTTAAAGTATACAAATAAATACCCCCGCCACAGTAAACCTGCAGACTTAGCGAATTTCTATTTGCCTGATTGGATTTACACTCTCCTTAAAATTATCACATTTATTCCCTATTTAAATATAATTAGTTAAACGAGTACTTAGGTTTGGTGCAACAGGGAGGATAAAAAGGGTTTTTTGTTGTAAAATGTTAATACTGTAGTTTAGTAAGAAATTAATGTATTTTCGATCAAAATTTGATCAAAAAGCAAACTACAACAGTTGACTTATTCTCCATAAGAATAACATGGGAATTTAAAATTTACAATTTTTTTTATTTTTCTCCATAACCATTAGGCGCATAATATTAAATATATTAAATTATTTGTATTTTTAAGCTCTACAAAATGGTTGGGAAAGAAATTCCAAAATTTTATGTTTTTAGGGTAAAAAATGGGAAAAACCTATTTTTACCCCATAAAACCCCCCATAAACCCCTGTTCCCATAGTCCGATCATGCTGGTTCGCGAACTTGTTCGAATAAACGTAGGTTTACACGTTTGTACCAAATTTGATCAAAATCGGATGATTTTTGCTCGAGTTATCGCGCTAACGGACACATATATAAATACTTAGGCGATCCAGAAAGTAAAGAACATTTCGTTATGACGCCGCTAGGCGCGCACCGATCTTGTACATTTTGGTATGTGCGTACTCGGCAACTCAGTCGGCATCCAGCCGTGACAATTGGAGCATTCTAGCGCTGCCCATTTTTTCACAATTTCAACTTAAGATGAGCGCTGCATTAAAAAATCCCGCCAGTTAAGGGGTGCGGTCAGTGATACGGTTTTTGTTGGAAAACACTTAAAACCGAAACTTTTCCTCAATTTTCACGGACTTTGTTGTTTAAAATTGTCACGCAACAAAGTGAAAGACCCGTTATCAGGAATCGGCGGTTTTTGCGAACCTTTTCATCAACTTTAGTGACCAGTTCCATCAGTCACAATGCTCTGCGTCCGCCCTTCGCTTCGTCATGACTCATGAGCGTCAGATCGGCCATTTTTAATCTGAATGCACCATTTTCTCAGAACTTTCAATCATTAGGTTTTTTTCCTTGAACTTCATACCCTTGGCGATAAATGTCTATCGATTTTAAGTTTAATGCCAACACAAACCGTATCACTGACCGCACCCCTTAACTGGCGGGATTTTTTATTGCAGCGCTCATCTTAAGTTGAAATTGTGAAAAAACGGGCAGCGCTAGAATGCTCTAATTGTCACGGCTGGATGCCGACTGAGTTGCCGTGTACGCACATACCAAAATGTACGAGATCGGCGCGCGCCTAGCGGCGTCATAACAAAACGTTCTTTACTTTCTGGATAACCCACGTATATATATATATGAATTTGAACGGATCGTGTTTTTGGCCTCTAGGGACCTCAAAACGAAAAAGTAAATCGGTCCCGGGTCCAGGTCTTACCATGAGTACTTCGGTAATAGCTTATTCCCTATATGGGAAATTCGCTAAAATACTGATATATTTTTTACATTTTAAATGGCAACACCAGAATGTCAACCCACAACATTACTGTTTTGGCTTTATTAGTATGTAACATTTCAACTATACAACCAATGACTCACCATACAAAAGAATCTAAAACACCAATATTAATGTGATGGTGTGTTGCAGATCGTTGTAGTTTGGGGAGGAGACAAGCCACCCCCCACCATGTCCAGGTGGCCTCCCCTCCCTCCCTATATCTCCCTCCATGTCCTCCACGAAGCCTCCGAGCCAGGACTCTCCCACCGCTTCTCCCCCCACCCCCTCCTTGACACTCCGGCTATCCTGTCGCTGGACGAGGATGCTCAGCTGTCGACGGACGAGGTGGATTTTGCCTTTGAGGTGTGGAAGGCTTTCCCGGAGAGAATTGTTGGTTACCCGGCTCGCTCTCACTATTGGGATGACGCCAAGGTAAACCTGACTTTAAATTAACATAACTGAGTAAAGGTAATTGGTAAGAAACGTTTATATAGGGATTAAGGCATCTACATCATATGTAAATAACAAGAAAACACCTTCCCTACATATTCACTCATGTGAGAATCGGTAGTGATTTGTTACTGTAAGTGTAAGAAGAAATTTTAAAATTTTTGCATTATTTTCTAAATAACTTCTTGATCAGCATTGTACATGTTATTAAATTTACTGAAAGTGGAGAGTTAACAATTGAACCAGCTGTTAAGATTCTTTAATTCCATTTAAATATGAGTAAACTCATAAGGTTAACATGGGAAACTCCAGAGCCACTGGGGCGGAGCCCTTTTGACGGATCTGCACCAAACTTCACAAAAACCATCCTTGAATAATGCTTAATAATGTCTGAAAGTTTCATTACAATCTGTCGAGCGGTTTCGGAGTCCATAAAGGACAAACAAACAAACAAACATACAAACAAACATACATTGGATTTTATATATATAGATGGAGTTTAACGTAATGCCATAAGACTGTATAAGTGTAAATATATTATTACTAGCGTTATTAGACATATATCTTATTGTTTTTTCAAATGCCATAAAATAAGTTAATTTGTCAGAAATCTTCTTAATTTTTTACAGTTATAGACAAGGAATCATTGTATCTCCTGTAGTCCCAGAAACATTTAATCATTGTCTTCTGTGATAGCTGCAAAATATTCAATATCTCCTGCGATCATGTAGACTTCATCATCGTCTCATGCTATTAAGGACACGTTACAACGTCCCCCGCGATCACGGCAAAAGCATGAATTTTTCTTTTATAGGACATTCTTTGTAATACAGGGCAGCTGGGGTTACACCTCCAAGTGGACCAATGACTACTCCATAGTCCTGACTGGGGCAGCGTTCTACCACCGCTACTACAATCACCTGTACACCGAGTGGCTCAGTCCTCTGTTGCTCAAGACGGTGGAACAGTCGCACAACTGTGAAGATATCCTCATCAACTTTCTAGTCAGCCATGTGACCCGGCGACCTCCGATCAAGGTCACTCAGCGCAAGCAGTACAAAGACCAGCCTCCCGGTGTCGGGCCCAGGTATTTCTATGGCTTTTCAATAACTAAAAATATTTAATATTGAGGATGATCTTGATGGTGTGTCATGTTATTAATAAGCATATAAAACTCAACGTTTATTAATATAATACTTCACACTTAAGAAACTCATACAACATAAACAATATTTCATTAGTAAACAAAATCAATAATAAATACAGCTGTATCTCTCTCTAAATTATTTGAATAACAACATGTCAGAGGCTAAACTGGTAGCGTAGCGAACTACGATTCTATGGCAGCGATGTTGTGGGGTTCTGGTGCCCGCCATTAAATTTTATCAGTTGAGTTCACTGTTAGACTTGGCCTACTGAGTCACACCTTGTTTTGCTGGATACATTTGTTGGACCATGCAACTTAAAAAGAGGCTGCCAATCCCTTTAAAAAAGTAAAAAACTAAGGTATATTTAAAATAAAGATTCAACATTGTTTTGTAATGATTTTGTGATGTGTAGCTATGTTTCCGATTTACACAATTTTATTCTTGAGCCATAATCATACATTCAGTGCCTAATGATCATAAATAATAGGGTCCACAATTTAAGTCTTAACCCTTCCCGGACGGGCAAAATCATGACATAGGACGGGAAAAAGTTTGAGGAAAAAATAAAAATTAATTTTTTATTTTTGTGTTTTGTTATACATGCATACATAAAATAAACACAGTGGAACACATTATACTGTCAAAATAATTTTTTACTCGTTTTTAATTATGCAAATATATCCGCTACCCATCCGCAGATGAGTAGAAATGCAGCGGATATATCCGTCACCCATCTTTAAAGATATGACCATGACAACGTTAGGCAATAATTAAAGAACAATATGTAAACAATAAATAAAGACAACATAATGTTGAGCGCAAAACGTCAAGGGGGGAGCGTAGGAGTGGTAGGTGCGAAGGAGGGGGTGAGGCGCAGGAGAGGGGTTGGCGCGGGTGAGAGGGGGGAGTGCAGGGGAGAGCGCAGTCATGGAATGAGCAGGAAAGTGGCGACTTGGTACCGCGAAACATCTGGTAACTGCTCACGCTCCTGCCAGTCTGTCTGAAGAAAAGGCGGATATAACCGCTTCCCGTCCGGAACATCAAAAACCATAGCGGATATATCCGTCACCCGTCCGCGAAGGGTTAAACCCTTAAGTTGCTGAGACAGTATGCCTACCTCTCAAAAGTCTTCTCATTGATTTTTCATATGAATTTTTCCAGGAAAAATTATTTTCAGTTAATGTTGTGTTCAGTGTTTTAGATTAACGGTTTCCTATCTTTGTCTAGGTCGCCATGGAATGATCCAGATCATTTCATCCAGAGGCAGACATGTCTCAACACGTTTGCCGCCGTGTTCGGCTATATGCCTCTCATCCGGTCCAACATGCGGCTGGACCCGGTTCTGTTCAAAGACCCAGTCTCCAACCTGCGCAAGAAGTACCGCAAGATAGAACTTGTTGGTAGCTAGTATTGGGCTGTCCCTGCGCTCACGTACTGAATACATCACTCCTTCCGTTGAATTTACTGTCTTTAGATTTTAAGTTTAAAATTTACTTTTGATTTTGACTGAGATGTCTAAGACTGGTTTAATAGTATGTAAATTTAACCACATTGTTCTAAAAAATTTCTGAGTAAGGTAATTTATAATTTGTTTATTGTTGATGGTTCAAGTGGTTTTTTTAGGTTGGTCTTATGAGAGGTGTACGATCTGGGTAAAAGGTAATGTAAAAATACACTTGACAACAATGCAACTATAGAACAGCTTATCCACTACTTAGAGGCATTTTTTTAGTTTGGCCAGGGCACAAATTAATATATAAAATAGGCTACAGTTCTTGAACTAACCACATTGAAAGGTAAATTTACACAAATTAAGGATTAATTTTAATAATTTAGCCGATATGAAATTCAACTAATAATTATTGATAATGATTTTTTTTTATTGTGCTGCCATAATTTAAAAGAGCATAATTCAACACCTTTTATGTGCGGACTTAACTATAGTCGGTAGTAACCCAAGATTAGTTGGAAAGTCTCCACTACGATATTCTATAAAAGCAGCTTTCCATTATGATAAGGTATAAGCTTTATTTTCTTCTGTACCATTTGTCCACCAAGTTACACAGTTTTCATGTAATCTTTAAGGTAGAACATCAGGGTTGTGTTTGTATAGTTAAATGTTCGGTATTTCTTACCTTGTGTATGCTTCTCTATTTCACCAATAGTATTGTGTTAAATGTGGTATTTATACATTTCTAAGCTGTATTTAGCTATTTTTGAATCTCACTAACTCAAATTTTACATAAAATAAGATCCAGGTTAAATAAAGACTCGGTTAAAACAACCTTAAATGCATGTTGGGTCTAGTTATGTTATTTTATTTTAATTATTTCCTTAGGTAATCGAGCATATTGTTGATTTCCAACCCACTGTTCTTAATTATTCAATGTTTTGAAGAAAAACTGCTGAAGCATTGATAAGGTAAGATTTACCACATGTTCTGTGGCATAAAAGTCTTGATTGGAAATTGCATTAAGTTCTGAGGACTTAATTTAAATGGAAACACAATTTTTGTCTATTTATTTAACTAATTATCATGTTTGGGCTATGATTTCCAAATATTAGAAGTAGAAAGATATTCTATTATTCTAATAGTAAGATATAGTAAATTCTATAACCAGTTTTGTGTTCATCTTTTAGTAGGCCCTCAGGAATTTAGTAAAATAATTAATCTGAGTCTAACCACTTAAGATGGTGTAACAAAAGTACCTTGTCAGGACATTTTGTTGCTTAGAGGCGGTACTACACTGCTAATACACTGGTGCCTTAGTTGTTTTTTGATGAATCTCACCTGCAAGCGCTAGTGGCACTCGTCCTGGCTGGTCAGCGGTGATAGTTGCTGAGTTCTCAATTCAATTAATTTATTTACGGCAAAAGCCATTGTACAATAAATACCATTACCTTCGGGAGATAACAAGCAATAATAAATATTAAATACAATAAGTGAACACAAGATGCATACAAATAATAATAATACTATAAATAGAGCGTACAAAAATAAGTAGCAAGTAGACTCTGAACAAAAAGAAACTAGCATTACAAGAGGATATACAGGTATCTTGCAAAAGGCATGATACTGAAATGAGAAACAAGATGCATACAAATCATAATAACAAGACATAGTGACAATATTAATAAATAGTGCATACAATAGCACTATTGCAGTGAGTTGAATGAATCACTGCACTGGCGAATGTAGCTCTAAAGTCCTTCTGAATTTGTTTGATTACCTTACATGTACAATCCACATTAGGCTTACTAATGTGTGGCTTAGCCGGCGGGGCCGCAGCTTTAATAAAAATAATAACTTTAAAAAAAATTACATTGCTAAAGAAATTATTTCAAAATGCCCGTATCAATGGGTTAACACTCAGTAAAATGAATTGACAATGTTATCAAATGAAAATGCAACAATAATTTTACAAAAGCTGAATTTATAATGCATTGATTATAGACTAACAACAACAACGCTAAAAGATGAACATGGAGTTTAAATGGAAAAGGTATGAATTTTGATTAATTTTACCCTTAAAAAATATAACTATTTTGTAAGTTTTGATGTTTTCTTTTTCAAATGCGCTTTACTCAAAATGGGTTTAGCCTACTCTCCTGGTTGATTAACCTTATAACAACAAAAAATTAAATCTCAAGTTACCCATCTACACTGTTTAGTGTGCCATTATTATTTTTAGTAATAATGATCTTCATTTAAATAATTTAGTTTTAGTATTAAGATTTAGTAATATACAATAAATTGTAAAAGGTGCTAATTTAATTAATATTATCTCAATTGAATTAAATTGTCATAAAACAAAAAAATGTATGTAGTCAAATAATCATACTAATGTTATATCTTTACTATTATAAGTTTTGTTCAAAATACCTATGGTTTAATATTGTTAGTAATAACATCGCCAAATACTTGCAAAGAGAGTATATAGTGCGCAGGTTTGTTGTGTATCATCATTTTTTAATTTGTGATGAGGAAAGCGAAAAGGGACCTCTTGTCGGCGATGCCAAATTTTCAGTACGGCCGATATAAGTAATTAATAATTATTAATTAAGGTTGAAAATATTGAAATTTGGATTTTTATCGATTGTTTTACCTCATTTAACACAGAACAGGACGGTACATCTACATACTATCGTTACGCTGGTGGCCATTCTAGGCGTCACATCGAACGAGCGTATTACGATCGTTGGCCACTGCTATTGCCTCCAAAGAGGACAATTATAAGCTTTATTTTAATACCAAAATCGTTTCTTAAATTTAAAAAAAAAAACTGTTTTCCTACAGTCACCCGACAAAGTTGGCTTCCTTGTACTGTTTGTAGTACAGAAAGCTGCTAATTGCTGCATATTTATACTTTGCCGTACGGTTTATACTTTGTCGTACGGTTTATACTTTGCCGCACATCAGGATTCCAACGAAACAACACAAAACAGCGTGGTTCTATTATGCACGTAATCCGTGTACGCTTGGAAATAGGTTGGCAACACTTAAAGATAATAATACTATGAGCAGCTGATTGACTATAACTACGATTTAACCTGTCATTTCGTGTTTATAGTTTCTATTAGGTATTTCTGAACATTCTGGACTTTTCTTTTAAACGTTTTTAAAACATTCCTACGATCTTAATAAACAAGAAAATACATTTAAAGCATTTTTTTAGGCGCGGAAACCACTTCAAATTACAAAAACATACGGAACTATATTCTCAAAACGCGGAGCACATTTCTTGCCGAGGAAAAATAGCGGAGTGATACGGACCGCGGGTACTACTTTCTCTAGGGCACCATTTGTGTTGCCAGCTGAACCTAAAAACGTGTTGTATAGTGTTTGAAAGACTAATTATTTATATGCTTTATAGTGACTGTAGGAAAAATATAATGTGTAACACGAGTGAAAAAGGCCTTTGCTGCACTCGAGATCATTCCGCACTCGCCTGCGGCTCGTGCGTAAACATTGCTCTCGTGTGCAGCAAATTGCCACTTTCACCACTAGTTACACAAATAACTATTGTATGCATATTTGAAGTATTTAAAAATATTTTTCTCAAAATGACCCTTTTCCATAACAACATTTCAAATTAACAAAAGAAATCGTAGATGCATCAAGTGTGTAGTTTTGACTTGCACCTAGTAGTTCGGAATAAGGAATTCAAATATAAATATATATATAAAACTCAAAATCAAAAAATCCCAACAAGAGGTTCGTTTTTGGTTGATTTGATTTAACCTTATTAATTATGATGAAGGCAAATTATATATTTTTTCATAGCTAGGTTTTTTAGTTAAGGTAACCAAAAAAAACAATTTACCAAAATTATTTTTAACTGTTTAAATCTATGATTTCCTTTGTAGTGTGCTAATGTACTTGAATCAATTTTTATTATTCCTATTCTGTGTTATTTTGATTATTAATGGTAGTTTTGTCACAAGTTGTATATTTTGTTTTAGTTTATTTAATTAATTTAACATCCCTAGTATATTGTTATATTTAGTTTTAACTTACTAACTCAAAAGATCAGTCAGTCTCTACAGCCGCCAGATCAGCTCAGCGCAGCTCAGTTTCTTTGATACTTTTATACATTCAATCTGTGTAGAATTTTTTTAAATTTTTGATTCTGTCTATATAACGGCAAATTTAATGTTAAATGTTTGTAAAGCATATTAAGTGTTTGTGATTTACATTTCTTGCACAAAAAGTAACAAGGCCAGGGTTTGTGTGGTTTTTTTGTTGGAAAATGGGGGACAATGCAACAAACGTAAATACACCAAAAATAAGGATAATGAAAAAAGCAAATAGGCTACTTGATTTTTAGGTAATTGTTTATAAGACCATGTATTTTGTCTTTGCTTAAATTTGTATGTTTGAGAAATATTTGAACACACAGTACATTATTAATCCAAGAGAATCTCATATTAGTTAATTAAATAGTTTATTTTCTATAGTAATTAAGATTTGTAACCCGACATATGAAGTTGTTGAGCTTGGATTTTTTTACCAAATTTATTTTGCTGAAGCTATTAGTTGTATGTTCAAAACTGTTTTGAAACTCAAAATTATTATCTGAAATTAAGTTTTTATTTAAAAGAAACTGTATATGAATAACTTTTAATTTTTCATTCATTATCTCCCCATTATCTGTACGAATTGTTTTAAATTTAAGATGAGTGGTGATTTAACTTTTTTGTCTATACTGTTTGATTAATTGGCATCATTAAATATTTGAAAAATTGTAAAATACAAACTTGGTGTTATCTTTTAAAATAATATTCCCTTGAAAAACAAGGTTCAGAATGCCTCTGACGTGAAAACACATTAATAAAAAGACTGTACCAACTATTAAGTGAATATTTAACTGTTCTAATTTATTTGCATATAAAATCTTGTACATACAACTTATTTTAATATTTTATCAAATAATTTTGACTACTTTATTAACAATAAAATTATTGTAAAACTTGTTTTGATATCTTAATTTTATAATTTAAGTCTAGCATTCAACACAAAACAATCGATGTCACCCTTATAGATGACTGAAAGGTTGTTTCATCACTCATAACTTTCATTCACAACTCGTATTCTCGTTCTCTCATCCAGACTGATCGTTCAGCCTTGTGCACTAGTCAAGCATATCTTAGGCTAGCACATAGTTTTGCTGAGCCTACTATGATAGCTCAATCGTTGTTTTATACTATAGGAACAAACTTTTTTATGTTTTTATATTGTATAGAAGTAAAGTTACTAAATATTTATATTGATTCATGCCATTGATAAGCATTTAAGTACTGAGATACACTTTAATATATTATTTTGTAATATATTTTAACTTGTACATAGTGTAATTAAACTTACTCATTGCAATGTAGAAATCAATATTGTTAATACAATTGTTTTTTATAGTATGTGTTTGTTTTTCCTGTTTAGCTAGTGAACCAGAAATCTTGAGCTCTTTAATCCTTAAAACGGCTAAAGGTTAACCCATTGGGGAAGGAATTAACGCGCTACCTGCTGGACCCTCGGGCAGCAATAAATTTTACCGAATTTGTATACTTTTACTTTAAGTGTTATGGAAATAAAACCTTAGGGAATAAATTAATAATTCTTTAACCATTTTGTTCACAGTAAAATTGTCTACAAAAAGTGGTAATTTGATAATCAAAGTGTAAATAAAAATAATAAAATTATAAAAATCATAAAAAATAAAACAATTTTTAAAAAGTTAATTTACAAATCCCAAGATCAATCCAGACACCAAATGCACTATTATTATAAAGTTCAGTTGATTCCCTACGTAGAAAAATCACAAGTTGTTTACTTTTAAAAGTAACTAGCAGTTACCCGGCACGCGTTACTGCGCTAACAAGAATCAAGAATCAAGAACTTTATTGTCATTGACCTTTTACAAGGAATAGACATAGTCAAAACTAAAACTATAAAAAATAGGCCTACAGTAGTGGGTTCTATATTAAAAATCAATGTCAACATTAGAAAGTAAATATTCTGTTATACACAATAAAATGGATTTTTGATGAGCCACTCAAACATTTTTGACTTTAACCTATTAAAAGGAACCAGTTTGGCTGCCAGACCTAATTTATTAAAAAACCGTATACAATTTATTTTATGGCAGTTATGTGTTTTGGCCAATCTATGGGCAGGGATTTCTAGATTGGATTTGCCTCTTGTATTGTAAGAGTGTATACTATCTCTACAAGTGAATTGATGTAGATTAGCTTTAGTGTAGAGGAGTATGTGAAAAATATACAAATTTACTACAGTCAAAATTTTAAGGTTTATAAAAAGAAGTCTACAGCTATCCACAGGGCCAACCCCACAGATTGTTCGTATAACTTTTTTTTGCAATAAAAGAATTTCATGGGTGTAGGGGGAGTGTCCCCAAAGTATAATCCCGTAAGAAATATGCGATTGAAAAAAACCAAAATAAGTAGTCCGAAGGTATTCATTACTAACAAAATCTCTGAGTTTCCAAATTAGATAATTTACTCTGGAAATTTTTTTACATGTGATTTCTATGTGTTCTTGCCAATTTAATTTAGAATCAATTTGGAATCCTAACAATTTTACTGATTTTAATTCATTATCAAGTGGGGATAGACTCAAAAGAATTCTCTGTGTTTTTTCTTGATTACACATCAATTTATTTTAGGAAAACCAATTTAGCGCTGACGTTATTGAGTCATTAGTAATTAAATCAAGCTCATGGATATCTCTATGTGTTGCAATCAAAGTTGTGTCATCAGCATACACAACAGTGTCTACATCAACATTCTTCGGCAGGTCGTTTATCGAGATTAAAAACAGGAAGGGTCCCAAAACTGAGCCCTGTGGAACACCTACTTCAACCAATCTTAAGTCAGAATGACTGCCTCCAACAGATACATACTGTTTTCTATTGGTTAAATAGGATCTTAAAATGTTTAAAGTTTCACTTGTAATACCGTAAAATTCAAGTTTTTTGAATAAAATATTAAAAGGTACAGAGTCAAATGCTTTTGTAAGATCAAATAAAGTTAATGAAACAGTTTCTTTATTTTCAAATGCATTTAAAGATTTATTAACTACTTCTAAGACAGCTGCAGTTGTTGATTTACCCTCACGGAATCCAAACTGTGAATTTGTCAATAAATTGTTGTTTTCAAAACATTCATTAATTTGTTTATGCATGAGACATTCAAAAATTTTGGAAAAGATTGGCACTATTGAAATAGGACGATAATTACTAGGAAGATTTTTATCGCCTTTTTTATATACTGGAGTAATTTTAGAAATTTTGAGAAGGTCAGAGAAATAACCAATTTTCAGACATTGATTAATACAAAAAGCCAGAGGTTCACTTATGAAATGAATTATTTGTTTGATGCTGTAATTTGAAAACCAGTAATGATCCATAGTTTTTGAATTGGAAAAGTTAGCTACAACATTGTTAACGTCTTGCCATGATACCTCCCTCCATTGGAAATGTAATTGTCCTATAGGGGGAGTCCCCAACAACTCATGCGCAGGTGTGTTGGTGAGAGGAATTTTGTTTTCTAGCTCATTAACACATTCAATAAAATAGTTATTTAGATTATCAGCATCCAAAACCTCAGATTTAGTTGATGTAGGAGAAAATTCATGTGATATAACTTCCCAAGCAGCCTTGCACCTGTTGGGGGCCTTATCAATATACCTTTCAAAAGCTTGCTTTTTGGCTAATTTTATTTCACGATTGTAGGCCTTTTTACAATCAATGTAGGTTCTATAGGCATTTTCCAAATTATTTGAATTATGTTTGAGTAAGCTCTTATAAATAGAATGACAAACAAGCATTTTTTCCC